GTGAATAGGGGCTGGGATAGAAACTGATTTCGTACAACGCATATCTGTGTGACATAACCAATATGTTAATTGTTGTAAATCATCACTATTAAATTCAATATCATTATGAAGAACATGATAAAGTGTTGGTCGAGATGTACCCATTCTAAAAAAGAAAAGAATTTTTTCATTCGAATTTGTTCAAATGAAATTTCTTACATCCTGCTTGTGAACAAGGATAAAAATCAAATTGTGATGGATGAGTTATTCCTTGATCTATTACTGTTCCTGCTTCAGCATTCAACATTTCCCCGTCTTGATAAAGAAAAAAACGTGTATTATGTCGTTTCTTGACTACAATAAAAGTCAATTTCGGTAATGGATTGGCACCATAAACAACTAAAATCAATCCTCAATGAAAGAATCAATCAAAATCAACAAAGATTTACTTCGATAAGCGTGTTTGATTTTGTTCACTTCGTTATCTAATACTTTTTGATATTGTCCTTCATCAACACCATCACGGTAGAAAATAATTTTATTTGGAAGACGTCCACCACATGTACATGCAAATAAACGTAATAGATCCGCAACCATTTGATCCAATTCTTTGATAATTTCCAATGAACAACGACCTTTTTTCGGATATTCTATTCCCAACGAAAAGAATTGCGAATTTATTTGAAATTCTTCTCAAAATCTTACGTTCACAAAGTCGAGCAGCATAAAGAGTATTTGTTGGATCACGTGAAGCAACTACAGCTGCAACCGATGGTCGATCTGTCGAACATGTTGAATGAGTAACCTAACAAAGAATAATTCTAATAAAGTCTTTCGACATAGATAAGACATACACTGAAAAAAAAAGGTAGTCCACCAAACTATTTTAAGTTTGGCACCACCAAAATGGTTTCGTAGCATAAATAAAGAACTTTTTTAAGGTTTTGAGGGCCAAAAAGGTTTCGTGCTGTTATTGCCAAACCATTGAAAGGTCTAGCAGCGCGTATACTGAACTTTTTTGGTTTCGTATGACTGGTGCAAAACCTGCCGTAGTTCCACAGAGCACATAAAGGTTTCGAGACAGACTTACGAAACCATGTAGAGTTTCGTATTAGAGATGCCGAGCCTTTACGTACATCACTAGGGTGACTGAGGTTTCGCATTTCGGATGCCGAAGCTTCCTGAGTTCCGTACCACACTTTCCGAACCATTTCTCCCTTTACGAAGCCATCAGAGGTTTCGTGTCGGACCTCCAGAACCATTTATTCCTAAACGCAGGCCTACGGGGTTTCGCCCGATACCTCCCGAACCATCGCGACGGACTAGTCACCACGGCCGGCCAAGCCGATATAGTCTATGAGTCTGATACCTTCCAAATCATCGAGAATGAGTAGTCAGTGTTGTTTTAGGCTGATATATGGTCGTGTTATGGCGTGTACTGTCCGGCTAATCATTCAAATGACTTGACTACATGGAGGTCAATTGGATAGATAAGTATATACCTATTTCTTCCCATATATTATTCTTCGCTGTTTAGGTTATATGTTGGGCGGAATGCGCGAATGAAATGTAATTACTTCTTGTCAGTGAATACCTGTGTTTGTGCTTTAGAATTATTTCAGGTCGCCAGTGGTTTGTTAGTGATGGAGAAGCGCGATCAAGCGGACGAGAGAAAGGTAGGAGTTTTCATTTTACATAGCTGTTTGAGAGAGTCTATGTTCAGCTGTGAGTAGTATAGGCAATTCTGTGAGCGGTGTAGGTAAGGAATTCTTGTGAGTGAGTTGTCCTTTTCTATGAGAGTCTTTATCGGTCTTG